TAATTTAATTTATCTATATTGATTAATCAAATTATTTAAGTTAATACAATCCTTCTAACTCATATGATAGATTGTACATTTTTTATTGAGGAAGGTTCCAAACCAAATGTTGGAAATTTAGAGAGAAAGAGGAAGAAATAACGTTACTTGTGTTGGCTGTGCTTAAATTTGATCTGCAAGTAAATTGTTTTCCATTATTCATATTGTTGAGAAAAGCAGTAGTAAAGTCACTCTGGCTATATTAACGTATATATAAGTGTTTTTATTAGCCTATCTTGCAAAGTATATATCCCTATCATTTATAATCCTCACGATGGGATCTACGCGTTGATTAAAATGAAAAATACAAGATGGAGAACCTTCAGCTCTCTACCGCTCCGTAGAGCTATAAAACAAATTCAAAATAAAAAAACTTATGAGCCAAAAGTTCCCTTTAAATAAAATTACAAGATAACATAAAAACATTCTAAAACAGTCAGGAGAAAGATCCAATAAAACACGGTCAACATCATCCCATCATTATGCATTTGTTAATTTCAATCAAACACACTGATTTAACTTATTAGTGATAGCCACCATATGTGCGTTGCTGTTCTCATGTATTACTCTATTTGGAGGTTCTGATTGCGTCCGAGATTTGAGGATCTATAGTTCTGAAAATCTAATTTTTAATAGCTATCGGCGGATATAGGAGACTTTCTATTGTGATAGTTTTTTTTTTTTATTTTTTTTTTATTTTTTTTAAGGGGAAACCCACTATCGGGCCTACGCGTTAATATAAGGGAAAATTACAGAGTCCTTAAAGGGATTTCAAGCTCACTACCGCTTCAAAGAGCTACAGACAAAATCAAAAAGAAAACCTAAGAGCCCGAATTCCCTACTAAGAAAAATTACATGTAAATCTAGTAACATTCTAAGTTCCCAAAAAAACACAGAAAGGGAACCAAAAAAATAGCCTAATCTCACAATCAGCACACGTACCCTGCACAAAACGAGCGCACAGCTCCAAAAACCTGCAAAACAGGTAAACAAAGGTACTCGAGAAGAGAATAAGCTAACAAAATAGAAGAACAAGAAAAACAGCACAATAAACAGAAATAAAGGGGCAACACCCAGAGAACCCAGGCAAGCAGCCTCAGCCACCACAACCAAGAGGAAAGCAAAAAGGCTCAAAACAAACCTCCTCAGGAAGACAGCCAACAACACCCAGAACAGAAAAACCCCCACCTTAAGCAGCCAAAACAATACGCTAACACCAAACTCCAGCAACCACAGAAAACAGCCACAACAGCAAACCAGAGAAAAGAACCCCAGAAAGCCCACAGCACAACCAGACCAACAACCAGCACCCCACCACCAACAGACCCAGGAACGAACAACAACCACCAAAAGAAAGAGACAACAACCACCACCAACAGCAGCAAAGACACCCACCGAAAAAAAACAAAAACAGAGGCAAACAACTAACCTCCAAAACATAGGGAACCATACGCTTATCCAAGAAAAAAAGGCCAGTAATATTCGCAGGTAAAAGATGAAAGTTGAGATCAACAATAGCATTAAAACTGCTACCAAAGAGCGATAACGCTCTGGCAACAGAGTTAACCTCCACATTGATAACCGTAAAAGAGCAATTCAAGACCTCCCTCAAACCCATAATATGTCTACGCAGGTAAAAACTCGAATGCCCACAGCTGGTACCATCCTGAACAAGAAACATGGAAGGGTCCACAAGAAAATTGCTTTCCACCAACACGTTATACAAATCCAAATTAATGCAAACAGAAAGCCCATGAATGACCGCAACCAAGAACCCACTCAGCTCATCAAAAGCCTTAGAATCCCCAGCAAAACCAGCAATATAATTCCCAACCGAATCCCTGATAACGCCACCAATACACCACTTGTCACCGTATAAATCCAAATGAATATTAATCTTAAAACATAGGGGATTAGGAGCAGCCCAGTTAGACCACCTGGAACCCGCAGAATGCAAAGAACCCAAATTATAAATACCAAACACATCAGCAGTAGAGTAGACATTAGAGAAATTCTTATAAGTAATAAGGTTAGCTGAAAAAAGAGCAAAGACTTTCTCCTTAATACGATTAATAATAGCAAGATGATTCATCCGAATGTTATTAAAACGGGAATCATTTCTAGCCAGCCAAATGAACCAAAAAATAAGCATGGGAATAACATTACGGATATGGCCTTTCCTATTCACCCAGTTGACGTGACATAATTGCATCAATTGGAAACCCAATAGTTGTAATTAGAAGGCCATATCAGTACCATACATAAATTTAATTTTTGTTCCTAAAAAATATGCTACATGATTTATTGCAAGAAAGTGAACTAAGAAATACAAAAAAGACTAAGAAGCAAACATGTATTTGGATAAAAAAGATATTATATGAAATTATTTTATATAATTTATTATTGATAGTGAGAAAATAATTATAATATAATGGATTGATTATAATGTATCATTATTTTGTTTTTATATAGAATAAATAGGGTTTTATTTAAATTATGAAGGGTTAATATGAAGCAGAAAAATAGCTCTTACTATCTGAGGATGCTAGATTTATATGATACTGTTAATTTAATTTATCTATATTGATTAATCAAATTATTTAAGTTAATACAATCCTTCTAACTCATATGACAGATTGTACATTTTTTATTGAGGAAGGTTCCAAACCAAATGTTGGAAATTTGGACGTAAATAAGAGGGTATTCATAATGTTCATAGTTTGGAATCATTTCGACCTGATACTTTCCTGAGGGCATTTTTTATATAATGATTTTATTATTATTAATTGACAATTTATTTAAAATTATTAAAAGGGAGGCAATAATAATTCTTCTCGTGGCTATCATTCAGAGAGAAAGAGAATAATGGAGACAAATAGCTAAAGGGCAAGAGAGAGAGAGAGAGAGTAAGAAATAACGTTACTTGTGTTCGCTGTGCTTAAATTTGATTCGCAAGTAAATTTTTTTCCATTATTTATATTGTTGAGAAAAGCAGTAGTAAAGTCACTCTGGCTATATTAACGTATATATAAGTGTTTTTATTAGCCTATCTTGCAAAGTATATATCCCTATCATTTATAACCCTCACCGTGGGGTCTACGCGTTGATTAAAATAAAAAATACAAGAGCGGGAACCTTCAGCTCTCTACCGCTCTGTAGAGCTACAAAACAAATTCAAAATAAAAAAACTTATGAGCCAAAAATTCCCTTTAAATAAAATTACAAGATAACCCGAAACCACATCTTTAAACGATCTAGTTTTACCAGCAATAAGAGGGCCAACGGCCGGGGAAGACGACGTCGGAACCGACATCGCCCCCCACCCCAACGAAAAGAAAAAAACAACCCCAGACAGCAAAAACAGGGGAAAAACAGGGCTAAAAGGCGGCGAAAAAAGCCCAGAATGAAAGAAACAGGTAGAGGAAAGAGTATACCAGAGGCAAAATGCAAGACGGCGGCAGAAATCTGGCTAGGAGAGCCACACACCAGCAGCGAGGAAGATCGCCCTAAAATCGCCTCAGAAACGCAGAGCGGCGGCTAGGGCTAACGATGTATAAGTTTTAGATAGCTTAAATTCACATTGATTGCACTCTGCATGGTGAAAAAGATATGGTCTCTTGGATAACCTACGACTTTCTATTGTGATAGTTGCGTGTGCAAAGCGTGAGGGTTGTACGTTGATTGTGGATTTATTGCATATACTATGTTGGCCTAATAATATCTTGCATGGTATGCCCATTTAACCGAACTGTATGATCGAGGAAAACAAAAGAATTTGTTTTGTTTTGTTTGAAGAGCCTGTAAGGTGATACTTAACGCTTCAGACAATAAAATATCGTATCATGAGACAGAAAAGACAATAAAATATCATATCATGGGGTAGAAATTTTAAAATCAAATCATCTTTAGATCAAATAATGAATTTGTTTAATGTCTTTAACAAAAATTGAAATTCTTCACTTTAAAATGAAAATATATGACGAGTTTTAAATAACTAATTATATGATATATTATTATTATTATTGAAATATGCATAAAATTATTATTTTATATGGGATTGTCTGATGAAAAAGAAATGTAAAATAATATATATATAGTCCAAAATAAAATTAATGTATATAAAAGGGTCCAAAAACAAAAGTAAGATTTTATTTTATTTTTTAATGTGGTTGGAATAAAAAACAAATAAAATAATAATGTATTATGAATAATAATTATTCGGAGGTGGTCAATGGCCGAGTGGTCAAAAGCTGCAAGTGATGGTGGCAGGTGTTTTCGGTGGAGGCAGTAGTGGCGGTGTGGTCGTGATGGTTGTTGACAGCGATAGCGATAAATATGGGTGATAATAAAGGCTCCATATTGAGACAATGATTGACGAATGATGAAGGTGATAGTTGACGATTAATAGCTATAGCCAGACAGTGTGGTGGTGGCTGACGTAAGGCAATGATTAACCGGCTTTACGTTCACCCAAGCTATGTATTTAAAAATTTGCTAAATATTTGAATTTCAAATACACTCAAAATGAAATAGATGATAATTACAGTCAATACACTCCCAAAATATATTGCATTGAAACACAGTTATCCAAACCCTAAATAAACCATTCAATATATCTCTGCTATTCATATTTTAAACATTCCGAGTCTGGAGGGCACGTGTGATCTTGTGTCAGCATCCATACTTTATATACTATTTTTGCTTGTGGAAAGAACACAACAAGCTTCTAAACTTCTTCTAAACAGCTATAGAAGCTTATAACGCGTGATCAATATTCGGCTAATCACTTAATTAATTGCTTCTTTGAAGAGCAATCCGTTGGCCAACACAGGCTGTGCTTATTAGCAATCCTTATAAACAATTTTCTAATTAATTAACAAGCAACACATACATACATGCATACATAATTGCATCACAATATATATATGGGTATACATGAACATGCACATCTATTACACAAAGTACTTTGTGACACGTAAAATTAAGCCTTCGTTCGGGACGATTTTCTTATTGCTTCTTAAAATAATTTTTAAATAAAAAATTAAAATTTTTATATTAAAAAATTATTCTAAAAAGCAGTAAGAAAGCCGTCATAAACGGACCCTAAGTCAACACACTTCAAATAGTAGGGTAGGAAGGCTCCATGGCTAAGCCACATAATCCTTCAGCCGCAGACACGTCCCTCTCGATCCTCATATACCCGTTCTCCCCCCAGCTAGTCCCCCATGAGTTCTTCACCAGCCAGTACTTGGTGCCGTCGGTATCGGTGCCGTACCCGATGGCGGCAACACCGTGGTCAAGTTCGGTCCCACACGGCCCAGTGAACAGTCCTCCACTGTACATCTGGAACCTGAAGTCACCGCCGTCGATGGCGACTGACACTGGCTGCGCGGTCACCGCCTTGAGCAGCGCGGCCTCGTTGTTGGCCGGCACATCCTCAAAGCCGGAGATCTTAACAGCGCTGGCGGACGACTTCTTGGTGTTGCAGGAGCCGTCGGCGGATTTGTAAGGGTAGTTTGCTTCGGTTGTTAGGCCGCCGTTCTCGATTATGAACTTGAATGCGTCGTCCATGAGGCCGCCGCTGCATCCTTCATCTTCCCCGTTCACATCACAGTCGACCAGCTCCTGCTCCGAGAGCGATACCAACTTACCGTTCTTTATTTGGTTGATGCTCTCCGTCGCCGCCACAGACGAGAAAGCCCAGCAGGCGCCTGAAATTCTCGCGCAAATGAGCCATTAATGGTCATTACACAAAGAAATCTACATATTCAAACTTCTGTTAAGAACTCACCGCATTGGCCTTGGTCCTTGACGGGAGTGACGGCTCCTTTGGTCCTCCAGTCTAAGCTGTTTGCGGCTGTGATATTCTCGTACCTGAAATTCTTAGGCTCGACGCGATTCGAGCTGGACTTCTTATAGCCGGTGTAGAAAGTTCTGAATTCCTGATTCGTTAAATCAGCGAAGCGGTTGGCTCCCAGCTGAAACTTGTGGTTGCCAGCATTGAAGCTCTCTATGAGCTCCATGTTGGCTTTAAATATCTCAAACCGTCGCGCTTTCTCTGCCGCATCACCATACACTTTCCCGTGCTTCGCCATCCACCGTTCGTGCTGCTCAGCCATCGACATCTCGACGGGTAGGAGTCGAGATGCTGACACAACAACGGTGCCCAAAGCCCCGAAGACTGCGAGAGCAAGCAGAAGGCTTCTCGTAGGAGCCATGTGGTATGGTGGCGCTTAATTACTAATTAACGAAAGGATAGTTAATTAATTAAGCTTGGTGTGCTCAACGGCTATGTTTTGGGAGGTTATATAGAGGATTTTGAACGAGAGTTTGGACACTCAATTCCTCTAATAATGGAGGCTGTAGAATTACGTGCTGCTTGCCGTGGGGATTGAGCTGATTGAGACCTTCATCAGGGTGAGGAGATTCGCCTTCTTTGTATGAGAGAGTACGTGCCGTGGGATTCCCTTAATTCTTTCCTTCATTAATTTTGCTTCAATTAACCAACTTCGTTTTCTTCTAGATTTTTATTGCTACTGCATGCTCATGCAAAAAATGCGTATTAGATTTTTTATTTTTTTTTGTTGGGTCGGGGAGAATGTGAACTTTAACTAGTAAAGAACTAATTTAATTAAGAAACTCAAAAATTAAAATTGTTTATGAAGGAGCAAATTTGGGATGAGACTACTGAGATTTCGTTTGGGGTGATTTTTTTATTGTTTTTTAAAAGAGTTTTTTAATAAAAAAATTGTATTAATAATCAATATAAAAGACGTCCCGAATGAAGTAAGTTAAAAGAGATAAGACCTTGATATTTAACACAGGATGGCTTGATCTATTTGTTAGTTAGTTCCAAATTTTTTTTAAAAAAATTCTAGCCAATTACATATAATTACAAATCATTTTTATGTTTTATAAAATAATAATAAATTCTTATTAAATTTATAATTAAGATTCCATTCTGACTGGCCCATAGGGGAGAATTCTATGGAGTTCTTTTTGTCCCATTCGATGAGACTATCAAAATTGGCCATGTCTACAAGAGTGGGAACTTACGAAGCCCATCTTCATATTATAAATCTTACTATTTTTCTAGAGGAGTTATCACCTATTTATGTGGACAAATTATTGCATTCGGTCACCTGACAGAGATCCGTTCAATGCACAAAATATTTAACTTCCTATGAATCATAATATCTATTAATTATAATATAAATAAATTAAAATATACTTATAATATATTAGTATTCAGGATTTTAAGTATAAAGATGATTATATATTTGAAAATTATATTTCACTTTAAATTCTTATATTTGGTGATTTATTATTAATATTTTTTTTTTCTAATTTCTCATTTTTATCAATTTATTATAATAATTATTTAAATCATAATCATTTTTCCTCTTTATGGAACTCATAGATAAAACTCAAGCTCGAGCTGGACTCGATTAATTAATCAAGGTCAATCTCAAATTAAGGGTGACCCGAACTCGGCTCGACGCGTTTACACCCCTACTTAAAGTAAATGATAATAATCTTGTAATTATGATATATTTTAAAAATTAGGTAACATATTTATAGACATTACATAGAAGGCTTTAGGAATGCGTACATGAAAAATACATATGCAAAATAGCTAGATTTTTATTTTATAATTGAAGTAGGATAAGAATTATCTCCTAATCTCAACATGCATACAAGAAAATGCATGCCAAGGCTTTGCTTTCTCAGGCTACTCATACACAGTTATAATTTTGGAAGTATCTATGATGTGATCAGGTTATAGATTAGAAAAAAAAACTACTTGATTGATACAGGAAGGAAAATTTTTTTAAGTGCTTAATGTTGTTATCCACACTTAAGACAATAATTATAGAAGGGATTCCTTTTGGGATACGCAGCTCGATTTCTCGGTCGATGATAGTCTACTTGGAGAAGCCGATGACTGAAAGAAGTTTGCGAGTATTGAGGTTCTGTTTGTTATTTAGGGAGAGGTGACTTCTGAGTAAGCTTTGATCTGCAACAATATTCTGTTTCAGACTTGAACCAACTATTTGCATAGTGTTTGTAGAGTAGTTTCACAGAAGCAATAGACAGTAATTATTGGTAACTTCAATTTGATTTGATATTCTATGTAACTTTGATTTGATCTATTGGTTGGGAGCTTTAGCCATCAAGCAAGAGGTCTTGGGTGCATGTGATTGTGTGAGTTTGCTTTAATTGGCATTGTTGGAAATATTTTAAAAGAAAGGTAGATTGGAGGCAAGCAATAGGCTATGGAGATTTTGGGTTGAGGAACAATTTTATTATTGAAATTTTGTTGAGTAGTTTACAACTTGAGTATACAACATCATGACATTCCTATTTATAGGTGTGAAAGCTCAATCTTGAGACTTACATTACATAGCAATTCTAGAGTATTCTCTAATTATTACAAATATCCTAGATTTTTTTTACTACTTTAAAGTCTTCTACATTTTACAAGATTTTAGAATACTCTAGAATTGTTGAGAAATGAGCATCAAGTTTTGTCACTCCTTGATGTGAATTTTGATAATTCTAATCATGTCCTGCAGTTGCTCAAACTTTCCTCTTTGAAAGAACTTTTGTAAATATGTCTGTTAATTGTACTTTAATCTTGCAGTGCTTGAGTTTAATCTCCTAATTAATTGCTCCCAGCTGCTCTGATGAAGTGATATTTAATGCAATGCGTTTGGTTATGCCATGAAATAAAGAATTTTTTTCAGTGCAATAGCTTATTTTTTTATTACAATAGATTTCTATAGCTTTGTCTTGTTCTTCACCCATATCTTCAAATATGTGTTTTAGCCATATAATTGGACTTGTAGTTATCGTTGATGCAATATATTTGACTTCTTCTTCTTCTTCTTCTTCTTCTTCTTCTTCTTTGTTTTTTTATTTTTTTTTTAATTTTTTTGAGAAATCCCATGAATGGGCCTACGCATTAATTTAAAGAAAAATTATAAGTCCTTAAAGGGAATCGATAGCAAGATATGCTCAAAAGAGCTATAATAAAAAGAAAAAAATAAAACTCCTTCGTGCCAAGGATCCCCACTAATTACAAAAGAAAAATAAACCTAGTTAAAAGCTAAGGGTGGAAAGGAGCCATCCCCAAAAAGGATATCCAAAGAAAATAGTTCAGCTCGATCATCCTGCTCAAAAAATCTAGCATCCAAAGCACACCACCTAATCCACCAGGAAGCTATGGAAAAACATGTACCGTGATAGAAGGACCTACAAATTAAGATACATAGAAAGCGCTAGATACTTGAGCATAGCCTTCCAAAAAGAAAATCTACCAACACATAGAATAAACCAAACAAAGAGCACATAAGAGACAACATCAAATGAAAACAAAGAACATATCTGAAAAGAAGATAATTCTACAACCACAAACATGATCCTACACTATACTAGAGAGGACATGAGCAGAATATATGATGTAATAAAAGCATAACTAGGAATGGAGCTAACAAAACCACCCAAGACAACACAAAGAATTCACTTAATTATAAAAATAGAAAACAACAGAAAATGAATATGAGAAGAAAAAACTAGCAACATTAAAATCCAAATTAAGAAATAGCACAGTAAAATAATTAAAAGCCAATGCACCTTTCAATAGATGAGGACATACATGAATACCATAGCCGTTAAGAAAGAGACATCTATAAAAGAAACAACATCCCAAGTCATGCCAAAAGAGAGAGGCAAAATAACAGCCCCAAGGATAGCAAAGGAGAGACACCCATGAGAGAAGAATCAAACAAAGAACATCCAAATCCATAGGCAAGAAAAGTTTAGGTTTTTTGAATATAAGGTAAACCTAGTTTGTCCAGTCTTATAAGACCTTTGAGATCATGAAACCCATTGTCAATATAAATAATTTTAGTAACTAAACAGCCAATACCTTTTTGGCTAGTCAGTCAGCACACATATTCCCTTCACACCAAATTATGAGAGATAACATGCTCAAAGTGAGTAAGAAGCTTTTTGATTTTCTTGACTAAGTAAAACAGAGAAGCATTAAGTCAGTTGTTTGTAGAAATTAATTTGACCAACATAAGGGAATCCAACTCAATCCAAATGTTATGAATTATGATCTTTGAATAAATGTAACATAGCTAATAGAGTCATGGCCTCCGCCACAATAACCTTGCCAATAGGCCGAATACAAGAAGCAAAGGCAAACAATTTAGCACCAATGTAGTGTCTAACTAAACCCCCAAAACCGAGCTCACTGTTATTAATAACACCATCAATATTTAGTTTGAATTGACCCCAAATGGTTTGCACCAATACACCACCTTAGCGCATCCATAATTGGTAGGGGTATAAAATGAGGTGTGAAAAAATTCAGAACAAATTTTACTACCTCTAAAATGTTTTGGAAGAAGAACTTTGGCAGACATAAGCTAGTGAAATTTAGGGTTTAGGGTGAATTGGCACTTTTAAAAATTCTTAAGCGCTAAATAAAAACTTTTTTGAAATCTTTTGAATATTTTAAAACAAACACAATCAACCATGGAAATTAATATGTGAAAAAATAAAGTACGAAAGTAACACAAAAAGAACACACCTGATTTTATAGCGTTTGTCCAACTTGAGCGCTACGTCAACTCCCCAGAGCATCTCCTCCAAGTATTGCACTAAAACACAGTAACTCTCTTTTTGAAACAAAAAAGGCGGAGAAGCCTTTACAAACTCTTTTTCTCCGACTCCGGCGAGGTAGAGAACCCAACCTTTTTTTGCTTTCTCCTGAATAAGGCAGAGAATCTTGATTGATTGCTGAAGATGACCTTTCTAGAGCCACCAAAGAGCCAAGGATGATGAATGAAGAAGATGTCTCGAGTCCTTTCTTGAAGAAACCTTTATAAAAATCTCACAAACTCCGTCTCACAAGATTCTCTCTCTCTCTCTCTCTCTCTCTCCCCTCCCCCAAGCTTTCCCTCTCCTTTTCTAAGCTCTCTAAGGTCAGGAAAGTAGCAAAAGATCTTTCCATCAATAATCAAGAGATCTTATAAAGAAGGGCTTAAAACTTGCCCTAATTTACAACTTGCCGTCAAACATCATTTAGGATGATCGACAGATCATCCTATATGATCAGTGTATTTTAGCCCTTTTAGCCATGACAATCACTACATGAAAATCATCTATTACTGGCAGAATTTTTTGATGGAAATTGATCATTTTCGACGGTTTTTGAATTTACCGGCTGTTTTCTGGCAGAAAAATTTCG